AATGCTGGTGTTCTGGTTCCATAGTACCGCTCTAACAGAAATACCACAAATGGGATGCTTGAACAAACAGGAGTTTATTCTCTTACAGTTCGGGAGGCTAGTAGTCTGAGTTCAAAGTGCCAGGCTCTAGGGCTGGATGAAAGCCCCCTTGACCTTGGGCTTCAGCTCTGCCTCTTGCTCCCAGCCCACTGAAGCTAGAGGCATCTCTTCACTCAGGTAGCTACCGGCTGCTGAGGCTAAAAAGCTCAAGGTCGACAAATAAAATGGCACAGTCCCGATGTGACCAAACCACATGGCAGGCCATCAACTCAAGTCCATTGAAAGTGCCAAGGTCTGCAGAGCATGGCAGGCTGCTGAACAACGCCATGGTTACATGCAGGGTTCAAGTGTGTCATAGGCTAGACACCATTCCCAAGGCTTCTCCTTATATACAGGAAGTGGACCACATCCCAAAGGCAGCTACTCAGCTGCGTGTGGTAGGTTCCACCATGGAGCTGATTGCCAGTCTCATCGTGGGGACTAACTACCACCAGCTGCCCAGCCACTCAACCAGGCCCAGCCAAGTTGACACCCAAACTTTACCCCCACAATACCTGATTATGATTTTTATTTCCAGCTTCTTGATAACAATTTGGAGTCAATGTCTTTGCAGGTGTTTACTGACTGATTTGTTGACTTGGTTGCAACTCATAGCGACCCCATGTATAACAGCGAAACACTGCCCAGCCTTGCACCTTCCTTACAGTCATTGTTCTGTTGGAACCCATTATTGCAGCCACTATGTCAGTTCATCTCGTTGCAAGTCTTCTTTTCTTGTTGATTCTCTACTTTACCAAGTATGATGTCCTTTTCCAGGGATTTGTCCCTCCTGATAACATGTCCAAAGTACGTAAGACAAAGTCTCGGCCAATTAGAGTCCTTCTTTTGGAAATTGTTCATTCATGTCTTATGGCCTCTTCTCTTTTGGGTTGTCATATATATATTTATATTGTTGTTAATTGTCATCGAGTTGTTTCTGACTCACAGCGACCTTATGAACAGCAGAATGAAACACTGCCCAGTCCCATGCCACCTCCACGATCCTTGCTATACCCGAGCCCATCAGTGTAGCCACTATGTCAATCCGTCTCATTCAGGGCCTTCCCCTCTTTTGTCGACCGTCCACCTGACCAAGTATGACATCCTTCTCCAGGCAATGGTCCCTTCTGACAACATGACCAAAGTAGGCGAGACCAAGTCTGGCCATTCTCGCCTCCAAGGAGCATTCCGGCTGCCTTTTCTCCAGGACAGATCTGTTAGTTCTTTTAGCAGTCCATGGGACTCTCAGCATTCTTCACCAGCACTACAACTCAACAGCATCAACTCTTCTT